CCCCGGTGACAGCCACCGCCGGCCGGTCACCCGAAGCGGGACGGGAGGTGCTGGCAGCGGCCCGGCGGCACCAGAGGCCTCGGCCTGCGGGATCCCACCTGCGCCGGGAGCCGCCCCCACCCGCGGTGGCACTGGTGACAACGTGGGGACGGGGACCGGCGTGGGAGGAGTGGTTGGGGTCTGGGGACAGGGCCCCCCCCCCCGCTGCACCGGGGGGGGCAGGGACGGGCAGCTGCCACCTCTGCCCGCTGCGGGGACAGCGGGGTGGCCAGGCCGGAGCGGGGTGACCCTGGTGACGGCTGTCCCCTCCCCGCGGCAGGGCGGCAGGCAGCCCGGGCTGGACTGAAAAGGCAACTTTAATTCAGGCAGGTTCAGACGTTCAAGCACTTCATGGAACTGGACTCTGGGGACAGGGACGGTGGCTGCGTCGGCACCCCCCCCCCCCAACCCGCCCAGCACCGGGGCGGCAGTGCCGGCGGGCAACCGGTCCGTCTGTGCGCGGTAGCGAGGGGATCCCCCGGGATCCCGTTTGAGGCACTGGGGCGATCCCACGCCCCGCTCCCCGTGGACGGCCGGTCCCTTTGACATCCCGGCGGTGCTGGCGAGACCCTGAGAGTGACGGTGGCTCTCGGCGGCGCGCGGTGGCTCCCCTTCCCTCGGGGTTGGGGTCCCGGCCTGCAGGAGACCCCGTGGCTGGGTGAGGCCATTCCCTCGTCGATCCCGTGGTGCTTCCCCAGCTCGTGCTAAGCAGGATGGGGAAGGAGGGGTGGTGGTGGCCCGGCGGGGCTGCCCTGCGCCCTGTCTCGGGGCCGGCGGTGGCAGCAGGGACACGGCGGTCACCTCTTCCTGCCCTGCCAGCGGCGCAGCAGCCACTGGGTGATGAAGGGCCAGGTGACGAGGAAGAGCAGAGTGCGTGGGGAGACGGGCAGGGGCCACAGGAACGTTGCCTGGGGAAGGGAGAGAGAGAGGGGCAGCGTGGGGAGGGGGACAAAGGTGTCGCCGGTGTGACCAAACATCCCCCCCAGCCCTCCGCTGAAAGGCAGGCGGCAGCAGGCCACTGTCACATCCGTCACCCTGTGGAGATCTTGCATCAACGCCGTCGTCCTTGGTGCCCAGATGCTGGGGACGTGCCAGGGATGTCACCTGCTTCCCAGCTGAAGGACCTTTCCCTGACCTGCCCCCCTCCATGCTGCATCTCCAGGCCCCCAGGGGCCATCAGGCAGCCAGGCCCCTTGGAGCAGGCAGCGTGGGGCAGCATGGCCACCACCCAGCGCCGCCCCCACCTCCAACTCACCTTCGGGGCAAACGGCTGTCCAGGGTCGGTCCCAGCTGCATCCCCCTGCAAGACAAGAGAGGGTTTGGGGTGCAGGCGGGGCTGGGCACCTCCCCCTTCCAGCCCCCACATCCCCATCAGAGGGAGGGAACAGGGAGAAGCGAGCCCACTTAGGGCTCCTGCAAGGGATCCGGACACTGCAGCCAGGCTGGGACCCCAGGGGCAATGGGAATGACGGGGGCAGCGGCTCCCTGCCTGCACCTTGGGGCAGATCAGAGCAGCACCAGCCTCCGCCCTGCCAGGATATGTCACCAAACCCTGAGGTCTCTCTGCACCTGGGCCACCCCAGGCTGCTTGTTTGCAGGGACCGGAGCCAAGCCCTGCCGGCTTGGGCTACACCAAATCGGGGAATCACAACCCTGCCAGCCAGCGTCGGCGCGCAGTGGCTCCCCGCGTGGCACGGCACGTACCTGCGCGGAGGCGAGCGTCTCCAGCTTGCTCAGGCGCTCCAACACTCGACGCATGTCATCCTGCAGGGCTCGGACGGTGCTGGCCACACGGGCATCCAGCTCTGCCGGCAGCCCCAGGGTGAGCTTGGGGGCGCTCCCGGCGTCCCGCTCTCCTCCAGCGAGGTGGAGATCTGTGGGGCACAAAGATGGGCACTGCTCAGAGGTGGCGGGGCAGGCACACAGCACACGTGGCAGTGCTGCTTGGATCAGGCAGGGCAGGCTGAGCATGGCCTCACGCTCCCCGAGGACCCCCAGGGCTGGCATGGCTCGCTCTCTACGCTGTCGCCCAACGGCCAGCAATGGATCTCCTCAGGTGCCTGCACCACACCGTGGGCTGCCCACGCGCTGCTGGCTCTGCCTGCACTGCAGCTGCTCCAGGCAGAGGTGGGAGCTCCCAGCCCAGCCTGGCGGCCCACATCCCCCTCCACCAGCCGGCACCGGGCCTGTCCCCGGGGACACGGACCACCATGTCCCCCAAGCGCAGTGGTGCTGGCAGTGGGGGACCTCCGGCCCACCGATGCAGCAGTGCACGTGGGTCACCTCCCTTCACCTGGTGAAGGCGGGATGCTGAACACCAGGCAGGATGCCTTGCCTGCGCAGCTGCCTCCCCGCCAGGCCCTTGGGCTCAGCGAAGGCCCCAAACCAGCCTGCCAGCAGCCCGGCAAACACCCAGATAATCCGCCCTGCGAGCGGGAGGCAGGCAGGGGCTTGCTGCCAGGCCCTGTGCACGCCGGCACCCCAGGGGACAGCCCAGCCCGGCTTTATCGGCCTCGTTACAAGTTAACTCCCAAGGTCAAGCAGCCCAGGATGGTTTGCAGAAACGTCAACGGGGGGAAGATAAGGGTGAGACTGGTGGGCTGTACCCAGGTGAGGCGGCAGCAGCACGCCTGCTCTCCCATGGGTGAGAGTGGCA